AGTGCGATCTGTTGATATGTTGTCATAACATCACTTCTTAAGAATATGTATTTTGTCTCTCTCCATTATATACATGAAAAAGACGAGTTACCTGCAGCCTTTCCCGGAAGTGATAATATCCTAGCAACACAGGGGGCTTTCTTCAGAGATTTTTTTCCTTTATCCTCTGCATGCGACATCTCCCCTGGGTACTTGATGTTGACTACAACCCCTCATCTAAATCAGATGTCCCATGTCCTCCATTCAGTGCATCTTTTTCCCACTCAACCTCAATGCCTTTCTAGCCATCTGTCACAGGAGAGTGGAGACCAGAATAGCCTGGTGGAGGGAGAAAGCAGGTCATGGTTGGGATCTGTGGGCTTGGAAGTTCAGGCCCAAAAGGTAGTGCTATCCAGTCCCACACTACGGGGGCCCTTCCTGTTTCCTGCCAAATGAGCAGGCAGACAAAAATTAACACATACGTACGTTTTGTGTAAGGTATCCAGGCATTTTTTTCTTGGGAAAACCTGTCTCAGTTCTGAAAAATGAGCTTCCCTTAATTGGAGTTTGAGTGGCTTAACTCTCATGAAATTAGCATGTACATAGTAGTGTATATTTGGAGGGGATTATAGGGCAACATTTTCATCTGGCCCCAAATCACATTTTTTTCTCTCAATTTTTAAATCCTTAAGTAAAGAAACTATTGACAGACTGCTTTAGAAATAAAGAGTATCTGCTCAGGCCACTGTCATTTTGGTTCCTGCCTGAAGGGAGGAGAAATAATAGTTTATCATGATAACACATCATTCTACTTCCAAGGACATTTGAAAATCTAAAATTGATGTAATGACTCATTCTTTTTGTTTTACTGGCAAGTTTGTTCCCTTTTCTCTTGCACAATTACTAACATTTGGGTTAAACCTCATCGTATTGCTTTAAAGGTGTTACCAAGTGTAGTATTTGTTTCTTTTCCACAGATTAGGCAATATTATTGTGGTTTTATATAATCAACATTTATTAAGAGTTTTCCACCTACTGCCCTTCTTCCCCACATAGCATTGTATCTACCATTTTTCTTTGGCTGAACTGCAGTCTTAAGTTGTATGTTAGAAATGGATTTTTCACTTGTGTGGTTGGGCTGAACATATCTTTATGTTGAAAAGGCAGTTTCACTGGGTATGGACTCCTAGCCTGACTTCCATGGTAGGAGTTAAGAATTTGGCTGTCAGTCTGATTTCTATTCCTTTCCAGGTGACCTGGCCACATCCCTTGCCTTTTTTAGTTTCTTGATTTCAGTAGTTTTATTGCAATTGCTTAGAGTTTTTTGTATCAGAAGATGGAGTCTTCTGTTAGTTTCAGAAAATTCTTAATTATCTCTTTGAGTTATTGTCTTTTCTTTTTTCTTTTTGTTTCTCTGTCTAGAACTGCAGCTACTCATGGTACCTTGTGACTCTGCTGTTCACATCGCTTAGCTTCTTTTTCAGGTTTTCCCTTTTTCTTTTGTGTCTTGGGCTACATTCTGAACAGTTTCATCTTCCATGTCAGTCATTCCCTCTAGGGATATTTTCCATCTATTGCCTGTTTTTTTTTTTTCCAGTAAAATTTAAATATAATCTCCATTTTTAAAAATACTTTAGAGTTCTTTCTCAAGGCTTGAGTGGGCATTCCTTATCATCCTCTTAGTCTTATCTAAGCTTCAGCTTTGTTTCTTTAAAACATAACACAATTGTTTTATGCTCCTTTTCATCTTAATTGCAGTCTCTCCTCTGCTGTGATCATTTGGTTAGCATTTTTTCTGATAGCTGTCAATTTTGGTACATTGTTTCCTTGGGTGTTCTGTGACTCTTCTGTGCATACTTCATTTTTCTCAGAATTTCCTCATTATAGTACTTTGCAGAAAATTTGCATTTGTTGTCACTGACTACCTTGGAGAAAAACTCCTGATAATCACTTTCAAGTCAACTTTCCACTTGATAGTTTCTGTGATACACATAATGAAAACATGGATAAGCAGCCCTCAAGAGAGTGAGATGTGATCGTGAACTCTCTGGAAAGAACTATCCCTCTCCACTCAGCGTCAAGTTAGGGAGGTAAGCATCCTTCCTGACCCGCTTAGGCAGCATGTTCCCTATTCATTCCTCGTCAATCTGAAGGCCAAAGCCCAGTGTTCCTGTGTTGCACAGGATTTCCTTATAGATCCTGGGTCTCAGCTGGGCCCTTGTGCTCACATCCCCTCTGTGCCTGCTGGTAAAACAGAGATTGCAGCCCTCAAGATTGCAAGGGCTCCTTACAACCTCTCTGACTAAGCCTCAGGTACTTGCCATCTTCTCAGAATAATCTGCCTCTTCGTTGTCTGCCTCTGATCTTTCTACTCCTATTCCAGATTGGGGTATTTTAAAGCTACTTCCCTTGCTACAGGGTCATCTAGCATTGCACCTGTTCCCATTGGGAAAGCTAACCAGGCAGCCTAGTCTTCCAGAGTGCAAAAATGCACAGCCAAAATGCCATCTGGATAGGGGAGGTGTCTATAGGGAATAAAGGTGTCAACCTTCAGCCTCATTTTCACATCTTTCTCATGAGATGGCAAACATCCTTGCTATTTCTAAGATAAAGAGCATTAAGGCTTGAAAGAGGTTGCTGCAAATTGAAGAGAGTAGCTTGAAGTTGTTAAAATACTAGTCAAATAAGTTGTATACAGAGATACACATGTTCCAGCAATTACACTCCCAAGTGTGTGCCCAAAAGACGTGTAGAAAAGGACGCAGGTACCTGTGTGCCAGTGTTGGCAGCTGCACGATTCACCAGCACCGAGAGGCAGAAAACACCTAAGAGGTCATCGGCAGGTGGGCGGAGAAACAACATGTGCACATCCACGCAATAGACTGCTACTGAAGCACAATACATGCCAAGGCATCCGTGCCATGGCATAGAGGAACCCTGTCAACGTTCCACCAAGGAAGAGTCAGGCAGGGGAAGCCATATGTAGTCCAACTCCACTTGCAGGACAAGTGCAAACCAGGGAAATCCATGGAGACAAAAAGATGAGTGCTTGTCATGGCCTGGGGAGAGACCACATGGGGGGTGACTATTCATTGACTGTGGGGTTTCCTTTTGGCATAATGAAGGGCTCTGAAATTAGGGAGAAGTGAAGTTGTGTATCATTATGAATGTACTCAACGCCATGGAGTTGTGTCCTTTAAAATAGTTAAAAAGATAAATTCTACATTATGTATATTTTCCCACAATTGTGAAAGCTATTGATGATGCTGAGAGTTCTCAGAAGTGGGGACTGGTTAGCCTAGAGTGTTTAGTCCTTTCATGCTTCCCTCTTAGCCCCAGAAATTAGGTCCTTTCAAAATAGCAGTCTGACTGGGTGTGGTGGCTCACACCTCTAATCTCAGCACTCTGGGAGGCTGAGGCAGGAGGACTGTGAGTTCAAACCCTGCCATGGACAACTTAACCACTTAGTGACATTCTATCTCCAAATAAAGAATTTAGTAAAGGACTGGGCATATAGCTCAGTGCTAAGGCCCTGGGTTCAATCCCCAGTGCCACAAAAAAAATAAACACGTACATTAAAAAGAAAGCAGGGGGGGCTGGGGATTTAGCTCAGCGGCAAAAGCACCTGCCTGGCAAGCTCAAGGTCGTGAGTTCGGTTCCCGGTACCGGAGAAAAAAAAACCAAAAAAAAAACATTAAAAAGAAAGCAAGAAAAGAAAAAAGAGAGAATTGCCCGATCCACCCTGGATCCGAGCCCACAGGGCACTCTTTTCCTAGTTGCCCTCCAAGGACAACACAAGGAAGAGGACCACTGCTTTGAAAACGATATCTGGAGTTTAATCCTCCATGCACTCTCTCCTAAACTGGGATATGTGCATATTGACCCTGCAAACGTTTTTCACATGAATTTCAAAATGACTATTATTTTGAAAACCAGGATAGGAAAATTTTAATGTTACAGTATGTCTCTGACATTGTTTTTGAAATAACTTCCATCGTTTGAATCTGGTCTTTCCTATAAAATCCAAAATGCCCTGGCCTCACCAACCCTGAGGCCCTTCTCTTTCCTGAGCCAGTGACTTTCAAGCAGTTGCCTCAGATGGACAGAGGAGCCAACCTCAGTTCCCACAGTCTCCGTAGGCCTCCAGTGCAGCAAAGCCCATTGCCACAGGCCTGCACAGTCACAGAAGAAGCACCAGGACTTTTGTTCCCAGTTTTCTCCCCAAACCGAGCAAACGGTGTTTCCTGTATAACCTGTTTTAAAGCTGTGCCTGTGATTTTACAGATGTGTCCACAAATACTAACAAACAGAATATCAGTTTCATCCAGTGGTCTGGGTCCCCTGGTGTTCGTTACCAGATGCCACAAAAGCAGTTTCTCCGAAGTACATTTCTCTTTCTCGATCGCTCACCCGTTCCCCAGATCATGCCTGGCTTAAAAAGCAACACTGACTTTTCCATTAAGTGTGGTCATTAAGCTGTGTTCCTCGAAGAAGGTATAAAACAGAATCTTTTCTTCTTTTGTTTTTGTTTTTTTTTTATTTTATGAGTACGTGTTCACAGTGCTTAATGATGACGAAGCCAACTCCCACCTGAGGAGTTGCCCCCTGTCCAGTACACAACATATCTTAACTTTCTTCATCCTCTTCCTCTCCCCTCCCTCCTGCCCCGCTCCATCTCTCGGTCCCCCACCTCTTTGGAAAAGGTCTATTGCCCTGTTTCCTATTATCTATCTTTTATTTTGTTCATAAATTATTTATACTTTGGGCTTCTCATATAAGAGAAACCATATACATTATGGTCTCAAAGTACATCCATTTTCCTACAAATGACTCAAGTTTATCTTTTAAAGAAGAGGCTTTTTTTACTGAATATTTTGTATGAATTTGTTAAGAGAATGAATCAAACAGAGTAATTAGCATAAAATAGGCCTTAAGAGCCTCTGGAGACAATGGGAAACATTCATGTTAGGTGCTCATAATTTTATGGACCGAATTAACATGTCCACTGCATCTTCATGTAGGGTCACATCCATCGCAGACAGGCTGAATGTGGAGTTCGCTTTGATTCACAAAGAGAGGAAGAAGGCAAATGAGGTGGACCGGATGGTGCTGGTGGGCGATGTGAAGGGCCGCGTGGCCATCCTCGTGGACGACATGGCCGACACGTGTGGTACCATCTGCCATGCTGCTGATAAGTACGTGGGATGGTCCAGGAGAGCATGAAAGCATCTCCTTAAACTAGAAAAAAAGATCAGTTTTTTTTAAAAAACTGAGTCTAGTTTTCCTAATTATTATCCATTGTTTGGCATTGTGCTATTAGAGCAAAAGAAATTCGAGGACCCTCTGTTTTTATTGCTCTTTTCCTGGTAGAAATGAAACCATGAGCCTTTTCATTTCCTATGTGGAACTTTCAGAATCTTTTAACAAGGGGGAAGAGAAGGTGCTTCCCTGGAAACTGTACACAGAAGAAAAGTATTTTTCAGGCTGTCACACACTCAGAATGTGGCCAGTTCAACCTGAGATGTGCAGAGGTGTCACCAATAATTTTTATACTTATTACACATCAAAATGACATTTTGCCTAGCTTGCTTTAAAGGAATGGTTCTCAAGTAGGGTAGTGTTGCTTCCTGGATGCCTTCTGACAATGTCTAGAGACACCTTTGGTTGTCACATCTAAGGGGAGAGAAATGTTGCTAGTGGGTAGAGGCCACCGTTGCTGCTAAATTTTCCTATAATGCACTGGACAGCCCCCATGACAAAAACAAATTATCCAGGCCCAAATGCTAATGTTGGTAATCCCCAGTTTAGTGGACTATTATGTTTTGCTAACATTCTTGGTCTTGGCTAATAAATGTATGGGAAATTCATCCCTTCCTCTGTAGAACTCACTTTTTGCCATTAACATTGATATTAGAAAAAGTGTTTCAAGAATGTTAGCATGCACTTAATTTTGTGTCCTCTATTTTATAGGCTGCTCTCAGCTGGAGCCACCAAAGTTTATGCTATCCTCACCCATGGGATCTTCTCTGGGCCAGCTATTTCCAGAATAAATAATGCTGCCTTTGAGGCTGTTGTTGTTACAAACACAATTCCGCAAGAAGACAAAATGAAGCACTGCACCAAGATTCAGGTACGAGCTATACCACAGGCAGAGCCAAACATCTAGGCATCTGCTTCGGATCCCTAGAAATAGTAACCAGCCTTCCAGCAGGATCTCAGCACCGGATCGCTGAGAAAGGCCAGGCCAGCAGAGATCACCATGCACTATTTAGACATAGCAAATGGAAAAAAGCACAAAAGAACAGCAGTATGAAACAGACTGTGTTCAAGTGAAACACAGAATTAGCGTGTAACCCAACAGTTACAACCCTAGGTCCTTACCCTCAAAGTTTGGAAATATGTTCAAACAGAAACTTGCCCATGAATGATCATAGCAGTGCTGTTCACAGTAGCCAAAGGACAGGAACATCCAGTGCCTTCAGTGGATGAGCAGATAACCAAGGGGTGGCCCCATCTCCACAACGGAATATTATGTAGACTAAGTGAAATAAGCCAGCCACAAAAGGAGGAATGGCGAATGTTTTACTTACATGAAGTACTTAGAATAGGAACATTTACAGAGACAGAAAATCTGATTACCAGGGGCTGGAGGAGGGAAGAATGGGGAGTTACCCTTTAATGAGTACAATTTTATTAGGGATGATGACAAAGTTTTGGAAATAGATGATGGCGATGTTTATGCAACATTAAAAGTAAAATTAGTGCCACTGAGTTATATGCTTAAAAATGGCTAAAATGGCAAAATATATATATATCTCAACATCGTTTTAGAAACAAGGGAGTGGCAGAAATCAGTGGGCTGTGTTAAGAGCTTCAGAGCTTTACTCCTTCTTAGCCCTCCTGCCTGGATCCCACAGGCTACCACGGAGCGGGTGGCAGTCACTTGACACTAGCTAGCATTAAACCAGTCAAAAGGAGTCGCATCTCCATTTGACCTCTGTTTCAGTGAACTTTGACAGTCGTTTCAGCAATCAAAGCCTTGGTTCCCACCGGCAGAGCATGAGGGTGGGTCACAGTGATCCACTTCTCCCAAATTTCTAATGCTTCAGAGAGAGAAAGATGGTTACTGTGATCCAAATGGTGGTCTCTTGTATCTTCATGCATGATTAACAGTACTTTAGTTTAGTAGACACTGGCCCAGGCCAAATGCAGAGCCATCTGTTTTTGTAAATAAAGTTTTATTGGTGCCCAGCTATGCCCAGCCATTTGTGTGCTGCCTGTATAGCTGCTTTCACGCTACAGCAGTGGAGTTGAGTGTTTGTAACAGAAACCTTCACAACTGCAAAGTCAAAAATAGTCTTAGTTAGTCCTTTATAGAAAAGGTATCAGCTGACATCAGAATTAGACCATCACAGTTGTGCTCTGAAATGACCCAGTCACTGCTTTTTCTAAAACACAGACGGAAAAACCTTCTACTAATGATTACGATTAATTTAAAAGCAACAAATATCCTAAGAAAAGGATGTCTCTGGTTAACAGTAGCCCTGAAAAGCCTTTGAGCAGCTGCACTGCAAATCTTCCTTCTGGGAGCCCATCTGGGTTCGTGCAGCAGGTTGTAATTTGAAAACAGACCCCTAAGCTACCTTCTCAGAGGAAGTGCGTGTGGAAGGTTAACAGTCGCATGTACTGTGTGCTTGCTAAGTCATTTCTAGGCTTTCTGGCTTTTGACTTTTTAAAGAAATATAACTTAACTGCTCCTTTTCTATTTTCTTGTTGGCGTTCAGGTGATTGACATCTCAATGATCTTGGCAGAGGCCATCCGGAGGACACACAATGGGGAATCTGTGTCTTACCTCTTTAGCCACGTCCCCCTGTAAAAGTGAATGGGAAGTTACAAGTGGTTTCCTCAGGCTGCCCACTTGTTTCTCTCTGCTTTTTTAGCGCTAGGACTCAGCAATGATAAGATAACGGCTGGCAAAAGCAACAGGTCTTTGTTCACTCTGACATTCATTGTTTCCTCTCTTAAACCTCAAGACTCTTTCTAGTCTATTGGGGGATGGTGGTGGTTATTTGGTTTTTAATGAAATGTCTTAAATGTTCTTACCATCCTGACTTTTTCTGATTGGTGATCTTTTCTTCATTCTTTTAGTACATCTCTGTGGTGACAACATTCTAATATCAAATCCCACTGCAGAAATTTATACTTTATATATTTCGAGGTTACAAAGGTAACTTCAGACTAAGCATTCTGTGTAAATATATAATCATAATGCCTGTGGACATTTGGGTAAAAACCCTGTAGAGCCCTAAGATTACTTTGAGTGAATCTTAGAAGAATTATGATATGTGGAATTTTGAATTTTTCTTTTTTCTTCTTTTTCTTAATGATAACTTGGTTTCTTTCTTTTTTTTTGGGGGGGGGTCTTTTTTGAGACAGGGTCTCACTATGCAGTTCAGGCTGGCCTTGAGCTCACTTTGTAGCCCAGGCTGGTCTCAAACTTGCAAGGATCCTCCTGCCTCAGCCTCCCTAGTGCTGGGATTACAGGTGTGCACCACCATGCCCAGCAGATAACTTGGTTTCAATTAAACTATCGTAGTCATTGTACTTCATCTGAACCAAATTTTATTTATCTTAAAATGGCCACTGATATGTCCATTTTGAGGGAGACATAACTGTCACGTACTTGAAATGCCCTATTCTGAAATTCTAAAATTATGTTCAGTAATTCTCTGACTTAGAAACCACTTTTGGATGTGGCCTGTAAGCTCACTTACATTGGCATTCTCCCCTGGCCATCCCAGAAGCGCCTCACACCCTGTCTGTCTTCTTGTTCTTTCCATCATATTTTTACCCATAGTTTTTACTTTCCATTGTTTACAATTACTTTACATTGTGGAGTTCCAGCAAAATAGACTCCCCTAAGTCCCCTCAAATGTACCACACTAATCATTATTTTGCTTTTCACAAAAAAGATGAATTTTTCTGAGTGCCACAAATGCATATTTAAGCATTACTTCACCAGATTTGATTTGGTGTTCTTTTATCTTTTGTAATCAAAAGTAGTAGGTCTCTGGCCACTGTTTATCTTAACTAAAGCTGTTACATGGCAAATGTGAGTAGCAGAGTCCTATGAAAAAGTAAACAGAAAGTTGCTTCGTTAATGGCTCAAGGTGATCCTGAAGTTGAAGTTCACTTTGAACTATATTCGTCATAAGATGGCCTTTTAGAACTTCTTCCTACTTGAAGTGCCTCGCTGCCCCTGGTAATGATGTAACAATGTTATTTCTTGGGATTTCTATGCTTGGATGAAATGAAGACATAGATGTAAATGCATATGTAGATGGTTTGACGCCCAAGTGTGAGCTTAGGTGCACTATGACTGAAGCCAGTTGATTTAAAGTTAATCATTTTCTCCAAGATATTTAAAGTTTATAGACCTAATTTTAAAATATAATCTGATTTTTAAAAATTGTTTTACTGTTCTCTGAATTAACTGATGGTTTCTATCATTATTAGGTCCTTTTTTGTATTTTAAAGTGCAGCTGAATGCATTTATGAACTAACTACTGTCCTCAGCTTTACACTGTGGAAATGTAGACTTTAACTACTTGATGCTTTCGGTTCAACAAAGATGATGAGGACCGCCAAGCAAATCTTAATCTTTCTTGTTCCTTGCTGTTCATGGTGTGGAAACTTAAGTGAGACTGCCAGATGTATCAGTCCGGTCCAGCTACACTGAATGGGGTTACACTTGGGATATATCTAGTGATAAAGGAGGAGCCAGAGAAACATGAATATACCAAAGTTGCTTAGCCTCCAACTTAAATTATTAGCCAACCTGTAGATGTTTATATGATGATAACTTTCCTTTGTTAGATACGATGTCTACTAGATTCAGCAGTACTATATATCATTTGCAGTGCTTGCACTGGTTTAGAATGTAGGATTTTAAGATCCTTCGATGCTGTACTAAAACATCTCAATAAAATCATGCTGACTACTTTCTTTTATCGTGTGCATTATTATTCTGGAGTAATAGATTTTGATGGAGTCTTGTGTTTGTGCAATACCTGAAAATGTGTCCTACTTTATAATTATAGCTCAGTTTACAACATTAAAGGAAAGCTCAGTTTACAACATTAAAGGAAAGCTGATTCATTGAATCAGCTTTTCTCCATTTTGAAGGTTTTACTTCATGAAGGACTTCCTAGCAATCTCCCTTCCCCAAGGCATAACAGCTAAACCATATAAGGCAACCAGGTTGATAATCCTGGATGTTTCCTTTAAAATTAAAAGATTGGGGCTGGGGATTTAGCTCAGTGGCAAAAGCGCCTGCCTGGCAAGCGCAAGGTCGTGAGTTCAGTTCCCGGTACCGGAGAAAAACTAAAAGATTACACGTTGAAGGACTGATGTTCAATATCCATTTACTTAAGCATAGACCAAAAGGTTGTTCATGTGCTTCCATTTCAGAAGCACCAAGAAAGGTTCCTGACCCCATAGAAGATCTACCTGTTCAGAGATGCATTTATCTACTGTAGTGGGGACCAGATAAATTTATAATTATGTTCTTCACATGACACTCAGCCTTAAAGTATGGGTGATGCTGTGAGTGGCAAACATAATGTCCTAAATTAATGTGAAATAAAAAGAATGGCAGCCAGGCCTATGTGAGGAAAAAGAACAGCATATAATGTACTAGAAAGGAAGAGGGTAGTGAAGGAGAGGTGTTTCACCTCCTGTCTCAAGTCCTACTTAATCCATCCACTGACTCTCAAGGGTAAGGCCCAGTGGAAGAGGGAAAGATTAAATAATGAGATTCAGAACAGTCAATCAGACTAGGGAGAACAGAAAGGTCTTGGTGAAGGCACCACTGTTCCAGGTGGTACTCTATGGCAGAACCTTCTAGAACATGGTGGCAGTGTTCCAGCATGGGCTGAAGCAGGACTACAGAAGGTGTTTGCTACATGCTGTGTCTGAGGAAGAATAGACAATTCAGATGGGAGGTGGGGCTCACACATGCTGCCCAGCCCTTTGTCTGAATGGCACACAGAAAGAAGCCAACACAATCTGTCCTTTTTACTACTGATGCACGGCCCTGTCTCCCAGAAATACATCTCTCCACATTTCTGCTACCCTTGCTTTCCAACATCACCTTCAGGGTGCTTTGCTGCATGTGGTTTTCAGCTCTGCTTTCTCTTGTGAAAGAACAGAAAGGTCGTGAACACAGATGCCACTATCACAGGCCACTTACGTTCAGCCACACAGGTTTCTTTGCTTGCTGCTGATCATATGAGAGGAGGCCACGTACTTTGGAAAAAAAACAAAAGATTTATTCAAAGCTGGCTCCAAGATAGACAGAGGGGCCCATTTGCCTCAAATCAGCACCTCAACATGGACAAATGCAGGGTCTTTTATAGAAAGGAACAGTGGTAGTTGGGAATACATTGAGACAGTACAGTGTTCAGGCTTGTTTTATTCCTTCCAGGACCCAAAACCCTCCCTCCCTCCCATAAGGAAATGAAACTGAAAAGACCTCCTGGTGCCAGCATCTGCATATTCTGTCCTTTCCTCCTGTCTGAGCAGAAGTGGAGGGTGGTTTAGGCCCTAGACCTGAGGAAGTTTGGAGAAACCACTTGTTTCTAAAGGGAGAAAAAAAATCTAACATTTAAAGTTCTATTTTGAAGTGCTGGTTACAACTCCCCACTTGCTTTAGTCTCTTCCTCACTCATCAGGACCTTGGCTGTCTGTCTCATGTTGGATTGGCATGTCGATGCTATCAAAGGTAGCTGGAGCACAAGCAAAGGGAAGCTGTATGCTTGAGGCTGGAAATGTATCACTAAAAATTGTGAGGTCAAAAACAAAAGAAAGCCAAAGGTAGGAGACACCGAACAGTTACACTTGCTGAGTCTGTGTCATAAGACACTTCTTGCCAAATTTGTGCAATATCAGAAGACAGGCTCTTAGGCTGAATTTATTTAAAGTCTACTGTCAAGTCTAACCTTATTTTGTAGTCAATGTCCTAAAACACTAGAACTTTGACAAATACTAGTCACAAAGCTTATAAGCAAATGAAAAATAAGCTAATAAGAGCAAAGAGAATTCAGTCTATACAGTAGACTTAAATGAAGAAATGCAGTGAGCAACTTAATTAAAGAAAGCCAATACAGTATTTCTATGAGACAAGGTTAGTTTTGTCAGAAAGTATATCAAGCAAATACTTGAAGTCCCCTTTTCATGTAAACCAATGTGAATTACCACTAAGAAGAAATATGTGTTACTAATGTCAAGACTGAGAATTATAGCTTAATAACACTTTAAGATTTCTTAGGTATACAGAACTGCAAAAACTTTGAATACAGTGTGCAAGAATTAATGTCTATTTTACCAACTAACATACATTTTCCAATAAGACTGTCCCTTATCAACCAACAGGAGTGTGGTTTTTGTTGGTATGTGACTATAAGCAATACAATACTAATTTAGCAAACCAATTTACTTTTACAGTATATTAAGAAAACCATTGTGACTTACTACATCATAGCAGTAATATAGATTGGGGTTATAGACCAACCACTCCACTCACCTGAACCTGGGCCATGCCCCAAGGCCAATACCCCCCACCTTTGTCCTAAAGCCCACCACCCAGATGCAGAGATGAGAAAAATAAAGACCCCTGAGCCCATTCTAGAAAATTCTGAAATCCCAAACCAGGATGCATGAGTGCCAGACCCTCCTGCAAGACCTGTAGTAACCTTTTCTTGCTTAGAGCTCACTGAAGGTTCATGCATATGGACTGCATCTCATATATCCAACTGTAGTAGAGTGAATTATGGGAAAGGACTTATGGAGAAGGCGCAGCTGACATGACCCAGCACCTGGTCAATGCCCTTGACAATCGTGTTCTGTAAGGATGAGGGGTGCCCTAGACCTGGTGCAACACTTTAAATTCTTAAACTCAATACATTCGGCCCTTGTGCTATTTTTCTTTCACTGGCATGAGCCTGCTCACACTGAGTGTACTGTCACCTGATTAAAATTGCTCCTTTTTCCTTACTATTGTATGCCATGTCCAATTCCTTCCTCAGCACACATAAGAAACTAAGAATCCCATCACCCATGGTAACACCAGGACAGTTACATCATTAAAAAAATAAGACAAATCACATATAGTAGTTTATGCAACAATTGTAAAATGAAATTTCAAATATCTAATATGAGCTTCCTAAGACTTATTTTTAGACATTTAAAACATAACAAAATAGAGTAGAAAATATAGCAAATTATTTTGACAAAGGCCCCTTTTAAAGTTTTGTTGTAAATTTTAAGAATCAAGATTCTGACATTTTCCCTGTGTGTTGTATTTTCTCAGTGTTCTGTCAACTCCTGTGCCCACAAGTCTTTAAGGTCATAATAAATTCAAAATGTT